CACAACTTCTCTGGGCAACCTGTTCCAGTGTCACCACCCTCATCATAAAACTCTTCTTCCTTATGCACAAACTAAACCTACCCTCTTACAGTTTAAAACCATTACCCTTGTCTTATCAGTACAGGCCCTGGTAAGAAGTGTCTCTCCATCTTTCTTATAAGCCCACTGAAAGGCCACAAGGTCTCCTTGGAGCCTTCTCTTCCCCAGGCTGCGCAATCCCAGCTCTCTCAGCCTGTCTTCATGGGAGAGGTTCTTCCAGCCCTTAGATCATTTTTGCAGCCCTCCTCTGGATCCACTCCAGCAGCTCCATGTCTTTCTTGCGCTGGAGACCCTAGAGCTGAACGCAGCACTGCAGGGGGGGTCTCACCAGAGCGGAGCAGAGGGGCAGAATCCCCTCCCTCGCCCTGCTGCCCACGCTGCTTTGGGTGCAGCCCAGGGCACAGCTGGCTTTCTGGGCTGTGAGTGCACATAGCCAGCTCACGTCCAGTTTTTTATCCACCAGTACCCCCAAGTCCTTCTCTGCAAGGCTGCTCTCAACTCATTCATCACTCAGTCTGTACCAGTACTGGGGATTGCCCCAATCCAGGTGCAGGACCTTACACTTGGCCGTGTCGAACTTCATGGAGTTCACACAGGCAAACATTACACATGCCATTAATGTCTGCCAACAGAGAAAAGCTAAGAGAGGTTCAAGGTCATTGTCTGCCCCTGTTCTTAACCAGGCAGACACAAGCCAGGTCTGGTGCAGACATCACACACCCACACTAATGTGGCCCTGTGTTTGGGATATCAGGTCTTTTGGGGAAATCAAGCCTTATTTCAGGATTTATCAGCTCACCACCAATGCACCACCTATATAGGCCCCAACGCAGATCAATAACTGGCCATCATCTCAGAGCAGGGGCAAAGGACTCTGTTTGTCTGCACCCACCAACATAGACATGCGTAAGATTTCACACGGAGTCAGTAATTCCATGAGTAAGGGAAAATTATCCTTTGATATGGGGTGATTTCCCTCCAGACAAACTTCTGAATTCATTACTTAAAAGTTGACAGAGTATTAAAACAAATTACAAACCAAATAGTGTTTATTTCTTTGGTTTGAATTTCCTGGGATTTATGCAGGTAACCTCAATATTCCGACGGCTACAAGTGACAGCAGTGAGCCAGAATACATGCACATACTTCAAAACACAACCGTCCACATTCAGGAAAAAAAGTGTTTTTAAGAATGTTATTCTGTCTTGGGTGACAATTCTTAAGAAGTTACTTTTACGCCCTGCGTGACAGCGCTGTCAGCACATTTAGCACCTAAGGGAGGCTGATTACGACGAGGTTTGCTGCTCTTGTGGAACTGGTACCAGCTTACCAGCAAACCCACCACCAAGCATAGCCATAGAGGAGTTTTCTGCACGCGTTGCCACGGTGTCCCTGACAAGACCTGACAGCTACCCATGCAGAAACATAGTTTTTTCTTATAATCCCTACGTACAAGAAACGCGAATGGTTTATATTTTAAAATGGTTAAAATTGCTAGCCCCAGAAGAAGAATGAGAACACAAAATTGTGTACAAAAACCGACTAAATACGATTTCCTCTAACCGGTGAAACAGGAAAAGTAAATAACAAAAAAGGGATTAAATGCTGAAGCGGCACAGAGGGAGACGGGGCAGGAAAACACGCCACGGGACGAGCCCA